ATGTTGTTGTGAGAGATGTTGTAGTAGAGAGGCGTACATCCGACCCCTTGGCATCCGATGTTGTGTGTGATGTTGTGTGTGTGTGCTGTTGTGTGTGAGATGTTGTTGTGAGAGATGTTGTGTGAGTGATGTTGTATGCGAGACGTTGTGTGTGGGATGTTGTCTGAGTGATGTTGTTGTGAGAGAGGTTGTATTAGAGAGGAGGAAGGAGGAAGGAGGAGGACGAGCGAGGAGGTGCAGCCAAAGAACAAGAACCCCACACAACAATGTGGGGAACAACAATTCTTTATAAAATCGAGAAACTTCCAGGTTGGTACTCACAAGCCTCCATATTAACCGAAATTAAGAGACCCCAAACAGTGTGTGTGTGAGGTCTGTAAGCAGAAAGTCTAGAGATCTAGACGCATTGGGGTCCAGAGAGGCGATGGTGGTGATGAAGGTGGGGATCGTGGTGACGGTGGCGGTGGTGGTGAGTGAGTGTGAGTGTGAGTGTGAGCGTGAGTGAGAGTGAAGGTGGGTGTGAGTGAGTGTGGGTAGAGTGGGAGACTGAGTAAGCGCGAGTGTGAGTGAGAGTGAGCGTGAGTGAGAGTGTGAGTGGGTGTGAGTGAAACTGAAGGTGGGTGAGTGAGCGTGGGTGGGAGTGAGAGTGAGTGTGAGAGAGAGAGAGTGAGTGTGAGTGCGAGTGCGAGTGAGTGTGAGTGAGAGTGAAGGTGGGTGCGAGTGAGCGTGGGTGAGAGTGAGTGTGAGTGAGAGTGGGAGAGTGAGTGAGTGTGAGCGTGAGGGGAGGGTGAGTGGGTGTGAGCGTGAGGAGTGTGAGTGTGAGAGAGGAGTGAGTGTGGATGAGAGAGTGTGGATGAGAGTGAGTGCGCGGGAGTGCGAGTGTGACTGAGAGTGAGAGTGAGCGTGGGTGAGAGTGAGAGCGTGAGTGTGGGTGAAAGGGGGAGAGTGAGACTTCGAGGTTCAACAAGTGCTGTGCCTGCCACGAAATCTGCGCCTTGAGGTTCACCAAGTGCTGTGCCTGCCACGAAACCTGCACGTCGAGGTTCACCAAATTCTGTGCCTGCCACAAAGTCTGCACTTGGAGGTTCACCAAATGCTGTGCCTGCCACGAAATCTGCACTTGAAGGTTCACCAAGTGCTGCTCCTGCCACGAAATCTGCACTTTGAGGTTCACCAAGTGCTGTGCCTGCCACGAAATCTGCAAACGAGCCACATGTCCAAAGGTCACGATTCACTGCACCTGTCACGAAATCTGAGCTCCTTCAGGATAACCACCATGCCCAAAGTGCTGCGCCTGCCACGAAAATTGAGCTTTCCCTTGCACCTGCCACGAAAAGTGACCACCATGTACCAAATTGCGCACGGAACCACAACGAGAACGCAGTCGCTAGAAGCACCCGCCGCCAGCCCCCAGATTCTGCGAGCCTGCGCAGTCGAAGTGCACATTGACGATGTTGAGAGGCAGGCATGAATGTACTGTAAATAGCAGCGAATAAGCCGGACACGGCCGCGCGGAACAGCGATCTAAGCACACCTGCTTTCTATTACCGTAAGAACCCCTAGTGTGACCACACTGTTTGGGGAAAAATCTGGCCTAAAAAATCGCTTTCTAGGGGTCCCAACCCTTGCGATTTTGTGGAGGAAATTCCAACCCTAATATATATATATATATATATATATGTACTGTAACTGCATCGAAAAACTCATCAACATGTGTGAAAACATGCACCTGCTGACTTCGGAAGTTTGGTTCTTCCAGCCAAGGCCTTGAACTCACCTTTAAAATCTGAAAATAAAAACGGACTATATATATATATAGTCAAAAAAGTGGAATTGTCTGATTGCGCAAGCAAGGTGCAACTGGGAGCGTGATCACAAAGACGGAAAGCATAAGCACTGCCTCAGCAAGGACGCGTTCTGTTCATTGTCTAACATCCACTCTGAGTCCCGCATCATCTCTTTAAGTTTGGGGATCAAGCTGCGAAAATGTCATTGAGCTCGCCCTTGGCAATGTAGCCCATAAGTGCACGTGTAGCCCCAGAGATTGTAACCTCCGCATTCACTAAGTCCTCAATGTGGAGTGAATCCAATAGCGGCTTCATTGAAGCATCCAGCGGCCCGTTCGGCCTCACAAGGTATGAAATGATCCTCCTCAAGCCAGACTTTGCTTTGATATCTTTGATTTACTTCTGCAATTCGTACTCAGTCCTGTACCTTGAACCTTGTTTGGACATTTAAATCTTGTCATCTTGTCCTTTTGTTCCGATGACCCCATTTCCATACTTGTGGCCCAGAGGGGGGTAGGCAAATAAACAACGCTGGGGCTCTTTAGGCAGCAAAAGCCAGGCCGGGAATCGCAACATGCCATGGCCAAGGGAAAAGGAGAGTGCCAACAGCGCCCCCCCCAATACGACCCCAACACAGCCAACACATGGCAACACACAACCACCCCAGCAACCGCCGCCGCAGCAGCAGCAACAGCCACAACAACAATAACTGTAACCAGCAGCGGCAGCGGCAGCAAGCAGAAGCTACCAAGCAGCAGCAGAAGCAGCAGCAGGAGTAACTAGCAAGCAGCAGCACCAGCTACCAAGCAGCAGCAGCAGCAGCAGGAGCAGCTACCAAGCAGCAGCAGCAGCTACCAAGCAGCAGCAGCTGCTACCAAGCAGCAGCAGCAGCAGCAGCTACCAAGCAGCAGCAGCAACAGCAGCAGCTACCAAGCAGCAGCAGCAGCAGCAGCAGCAGCAGCAGCAGCAGCTACCAAGCAACAGCAGCATCAGCTACCAAGCAGCAGCCGCAGTAGCAGCAGCAGCAGCAGCTACCAAGCAGCAGCAGCTACCAAGCTGCAGCAGCATCAGCAGCAGCTACCAAGCAGCAGCAGCATCAGCAGGAGCCACCAGGCAGCAGCAGCATCAGCAGCAGCTACCAAGCAGCAGCAGCAGCAGCAGCAGCAGCAGCAGCCAAGCAGCAGCAGCAGCCAAGCAGCAGCCAAGCAGCAGCAGCAGCAGCCAAAGCAGCCAAAGCAGCCAAAGCAGCCAAAGCAGCCAAAGCAGCCAAGCAGCCAAGCAGCCAAGCAGCAGCAGCAGCCAAGCAGCAGCCAAGCAGCAGGCAGCCAAGCAACAACAGCCAAGCAGCAGCAGCCAAGCAGCAGCAGCCAAGCCGCAGCAGCAGCAGCAGCAGCAGCAAAGCAGCAGCAGCAAAGCAAAAGCAGCAAAGCAGCAGCAGCAGCAGCAGCAGCAGCAAAGCAGCAGCAAAGCAGCAGCAAAGCAGCAGCAGCAAAGGCAGCAGCAGCAGCAAAGGCAGCAGCAGCAGCAAAGGCAGCAGCAGCAGCAAAGGCAGCAGCAGCAGCAGCAAAGGCAGCAGC